AAGAAAAAATTCAAGCCTCAACTTACTATATACTCAAGTCTCAATGGGCAAAATATTGAATGATGCAAAGCATCAAAAGAAGATGGAAGGAATACAGAGTCACTGTACCAAAAAGACATGGTTGATGTTCAACTATTTCAAGGGGTAGCATACGATCAAGAACTAACAGTACTGAAGGAAGAAGTACAAGCTGCACTGAAGGCATTGGCAAACAACACGACTCCAGGAATTGACGGAATACAAATGGAAATCTTTCAGCAAACTAATGTAGGACTGGAAGCATGCACTCGCCTGTCAAGAAATTTGGAAGACAGCTACCTGGCCAACCAATTGGAAGAGATCTGTATTTGTGCTCATTCCAAAGAGAGGTGACCAATAGAGTGAGGAAATCATTGAGTGATATTATTAATATCACATGCAAGTAAATTTTTGGTTAAAATAATTTACATACTGCTGAACAGTATGTCAACAGGGAACTGCCAGAAATTCAAGACGGATTCAAAAGAGGACGTGGAACTAGAGAGATCGTTACTGATGTCAGATGGATCTTAGCTGAAAGCAGAGAATACCAGAAAGAGGTTTACCTGTGCTTTATTGATTATGCAAAGGCTTTCAACTGTGTGGATCATGACAAGCTGTGGACAACACGGTTGAGAGTGAGTATTCTGGAACATTTAATTATGCTCCTGAGGAACCTGTATGTAGACCACGAGACAGTCATTCAAATGGGAACAAGGGGATGTTGAATGGTTCGAAATCAGGAAAGTTATGTACGAGGGTTGTATTCTTTTAACCATACTTACTCAATCTGTATGCTGAGCAAATAATCCAGGAAGCTGGATTATGTGAATAATGTGGCTTCAGGATTGGAGGAAGACTCATTAATAACCTGTGATATGCAGATGATACAACCTTGCTTGCTGGAAATAAATGGAGCGGTTCAAGCTCACCAGCTACTCCTTGGAAACCCTATACAGGGTCTCTGTGGGTTGGAATCGACTCGACGGCACTTGACAACAACAACAATGAAGATCAAAGACTAGAGCCATCAGTATGGGTTGCACCTGAATGTAAAGAAAGCAGAAATCTTCACAACTGGACCAATAAATAATATGATAAATGGAGAAAATATTGAACTTGTCAAATACTTTTTTGCTTAGTTCCACAATCAATACTCATAGAAACAGCAGTCAGAAAATCAAATGACATAATGCATTAGGTAAATCTGCTGCACAAGACCTCTTTAGTGTTAGAAAGCAAATACATCAGTTTGAGGATTAAGCTGCACCTGACCCAAGCCATGGTATTTTCCATTGCCTTATACGCAGTGTGAAAGGTGGACAATGAATAAGGAAGACTGTAGATGTTATGCCTTGAGTTATGGTGTTGGAGAATAATATTGAAGGTACCATGAACTCCCAAAAAGACAAATAAACATGTGTTGGAAGAAGTACAACTAGAATGCTCCTTCTTGTTAAGTGCCGTAGTTAGTTCCTATCCATAGTGACAATGTATAGGGCTTCCTAGGAGTAGCTGGTGAGCTTTAACTGCCGACTTTGTGGTTCAAACCAAACTTGCAGTCCCAGTGCATTAACCCACAGCACCGCACTAAGACTCCAGAATGCTCCTGAGGTGAATTACAAGACTTCTGTCATACTTTGGACATATATCAGATGGGACCTAGGGAAGGACGGCAAGATGCTTGCAAAAAAGGAGGAAGAAAACTCCCCAGTGAGATGGATTGGCATAGTGGTAGCAACAAGTGAAACACAATTGTTAGGATGGTGCAGGACTGGGCAGTGTTATGTTGTGCATAGGGTCACTATGTGAAACACAATTGTTAGGACGGTGCAGGACTGCGCAGTGTTTTGTTATGTTGTGCATAGGGTCACTATGAGTCGAAACTAACTCAGCTGCACCTAACAAGATTTTACTGTCTCAGGTTTCTTATCTGCTTGCTCTCATTCTATATAGTCATCATAGGTTGTTTCATCCACTGTGTTGCTTCTATGTCTCTACACGTGGATGGCTTCATATCTCTAGTCCAGAACTCTTCTCTCTTTTGAGCCTCAGAGGCAAATTTTTAGGTCCTCTTGGCTACCTCATAATCTCACATGTGTACAAATTTGAATGCTTTCCTCCTGTCGTGTGCATTTCTGTGCGTGTGTGTGTGCATGCATCTGTGCACGCACATACACAATCTGCTTCTACTCCTGTGTTTCTTCTCTCTCTTAGCAGTGATCTCTGCCCATTCTCTGTCATTCTCATTTTGTGACACATTAATTTCTTTCATTAACTTCACCTTTCCACCATATAGCCATCACAGCCGTCCCTTCATATCCACAGGTTCTGTTATCCACAGATTCAACCAACTATGGAATGAAAGTTTTTTTGGAAAGACTCCTAAAAAGCAACCCCTTAAAGGTCAAACCAACCCCTTAAAGGCAGTGGAAAGTGCTATTTACATACCATTTACATTGTATTAGGTATTATAAGTGATCTGTTTTTGTTGTTATTATATGGGAGGGTGTTGTTGTATGCTGTTGAGTTGGTTCTGATTCATAACGACCCTATATAGGATTTTCCAAGGAGAGGCTGGTGGATTTGAACCTACAGACCTTGTGATTAGCAAGCAGTCTAGTTCTCATCCTACAGCACCACACCAGAAACTCCCACACTTTGCCATTAGGATTAAGTTAAAATTCCACTTTGACCAGGACTTGGTACCCTACCAAGTCCTCCAGCTTTTTCTTTTGCTACACTGGCTCTCATAAGTTTTCAGTTGAAATAATACATGCTCTTGCATTCATAGATACTTTTTTTCTGCTGGAACATTTACCATTCTCCTCAGTTACCTGGCTAATAGCTACTAATTTTTCAGGCCTCATCTTCAATCTAATTTCCTCTGGGAAATCTGACTACACCCTGTCCCCAACTTAACTAGGTCAGCTGTGTGCTCACCATGGCATTTCATGGCATGGATGCGGCCTTACTGTTACTGTAGAGATGAGCAGGGACCTGTTTGCGCTGCACATCATTTTCTGTCTCCCCAGGAACAAGCACATTGCCTGGCACATGGAAGGTGGTAGTGATTGTTAAGTGCTGTCAAGTCGATTCTGACTCACAGTGACCCTGTTTTGGGGTTCTGCAGCTGTAAGTCTTTGTGGGAACAGGAAGCCTCGTCATTCTCCTGCGGAGCGGCTGGTGGGCTCAAACTGCCAACCTTGTAGTTCTCAGTCTGGTGCCTATCCTACAGAACTGGCAGCAGTTAGTATTTGTTGAATGAATTAACACTGTTCTGTTTTCTGTTTGAGCTCCTAGTAACTTAAAAAGTTCTTTCAATTCAGTGGCACCTCATCCCTTCTATTTATTGTTTCTGGTTCTACAAGGGAGCACAGAACCAATGACTACACTGCCTTCAAGTGAATGAAAGAATTTGTGGTGCCCAGAGCTGAACACTCACTTAAGTGTGGTCTCACCTCCGAGAGGATGCTGGGGTCTTCGCTATACCAATTTAATACTCAAACTTGGTAATAAACCAACTTGAGCTCACATTTGCTCTCAATCCCACTACTGACTCATATTGACAAAATCCCTAAGCTTTTTTTTTTAATATGTGTTGGCCCAAGAAGGAGTTCGATACACTTGGCTGCTAACCGAAAGGCTGGATTTTTAAGCCCACCCAGAAGCACCTTTAGAAAGTCCCTGCGATCCACTTTCTAAATATCAGCCACTGAAAACCCTAGAGAGCACAGTTCCATTCTGACGCATAAGAGCTCTCCATGAGTTGGAATGAGCTCCGTGGGAACTACCATTTCCCTCTCCTGCCACCCCGAGTGTACCTTTGGTCTGGGGGCCCAAATCTAAGATCTTGTATTTTTTTCTTGTTAAATCTGTCCGAGTTAACTTGAAACATCAAATCAGTTGGCTAACATGTGAAGGAGATTTGTATCTTATTAGGGTATTTGTTATTCTACTCAATTTCATGGCATTTACTAATTTAATAAACAAATTTTTCCAGCCATGAAATCATAGACCAGGCACTTAATCACTTCAAGACTGTTTCTTCATGTATAAAATGGGGCTGATAATAAGATTAGGATTTCAGAGAAAAATAAATGTGATACAATTCACAAAGCATTATAGCATTTCGTGGGACATGGTATATATTGAGTATACTTAAGGTATTATAATTATTTACTCAAATAATTGATAACAAAGTTGAACAAGGTTTGAACACAGCAGATACAGGGCACTCTCCTAGGTGTATATCCAAGGGACCTTCCTGGCACGGTGGCTAAGTGAATCTGTAGTAAGATGGGAGCAGATGTGATCTCAAGCTGCTTTATTACAAAGTGCAAATGTCAAAGGACTATAGTGAAGGCACCACTATCCTCTCAGAGGTGAGGCCATACTTAAGTGAGTGTTTAGTTCTGGGTACCACATGCTACATGGGACAGAGGCACAGAGCACATTCTTTTATTCACTTGAAGACAGTGTAGTCACTGGTTCTGTGTTCCCTTGTAGAACCAGAACTGATAAATAAAAGGGTCCAGGTGCCACTGAATTGAAGAACTTTCTATGTTACTAGAAGCTCAAGATAACCTTGGAAACCCTATGGGGGCAGTTATCCTGTGACCTAATGGGTTGCCATGAGTTGGAATTGACTTGATGGCAGTTGGTGGTGTAGTTGGTTGGTTTATATCCATTAATAATGATCAATGGATGACTTCATGCAGCCTGTTCTTACCCATAGGACTTAATTAGAAAACTTTTTATGTGCCTTTTTCCGGTATATAGTCTCTTACATTTATTTCTCTGATTTGCTTATTTCCTAAGACTCCCCAAACTTTAAAAAACTTTTTTTAAAAAAAATTCGTTTTCCAAATTTGTTAATGATCCCATTCAAACAACACTTGGCCAAGACACTTGAAGGACTATTCATATTTCTTTTCAAAATCCCCAAATACATTAGAAAATGGTTAGTTTCACCTGCTAAGTAAGAGCATATGAAGTGATTTATTGATGCTGGTTAAGGCCCATTATATACAAGTAGAAACCTTCAAAATGGTACAAAGGACCATTACGAATATCGGTAGACACTTTTATAGACAAAACAATGACTAGAACATAGTTTAAACATACACAACATATAATTATGGGGAGAAAAAGAAGTAAAACAAAGATGGTTCTACCAGATAGATTCCAAGGCATTAAAAGTCTGCTATGCAAACTTTAAGTTGAAAAATGTGTTCAATGGAGTTACATGGTTTTAAAAAAATTAGATGTAATGTAAAAATTAAAGTTTTTCTTTTTTTACTGCAAGTGGGAGAGGAACCAAGATAACTTTTTATTCCAAATCTGTACATTTTGAAAAATAATTTATATGTCTAGCACAAAGAAATAAAATTGAGAATGTTTACAGTTCTGTAAACTATGTCTTCCATGACATGTGAACTGTATCAGTTTTAAAAGTTAAAAATTGTGCAATCAGAAATAGACTGTTCCCTTTAAGATACAATTGTACCTTCATTGGCTTTATACCTGAGCACCAAAGCTGAAGTTCTAAATGCTGTCTTAGAAAGCTATTCTGAAAGTGAGCAAGAAATCAAAACTAGCTTGTTATCATCTGGAGAATTAGGCACCGAGAAGGAGATTATCTCCTCAGAAATGCAACAAGAACAACAGAGAAGGTTCAATTAATTCAGCAGCTGGCAGATCTCCTTGTGAACACAACAAAGGAAATCCACATAAGATGATCCTCCAAAAAGTCCTTTGTCTTCTACCAGAAACTGTCGGAAAACCATTTCGGGCTGTTCTCGCTGCTTTACGATTGTCAGCTGGAAAAAAACAAGATATCTGTTAGTAAAAGTTTTCTTGATGTGGTTCAACTTTACCTTATTTCACCAGATATATAGAATGTTCACTAGGTGTGAAGCTGTGAAAAATACGTGAAAGTGCCTAGTTTTCACAGTGGAGAGAGATGCTGATTTCAAAACTGTGAAGCCCAAGGCATACACTGTAAGTGGCAATGATGAAACACAAGCACACTGCTATGGGAATGGCTTCATGATAGTAGAGACTATCACTTAGTTATAATGTTGTTGTTAAGTGCGGTCGAGTGGAGTCTGACTCACAGTGACCCTGTATAGAGTTTCTGAAGAGTGGCTGGTAGGTTTGAACCATCAATCTTGCAGTTCAAATTGATCTTGTGGTTGAGTGCTTATCATACAGTGCCACACCAGTTAGTAATTAAGTCTTAAAGGATTGCCTGAAAAATTGAGGTTGGGGAGGTCAAACAATGTTCCATACTGAAATACATATTCCAAATATGGTATTTCATTGTTCCTGGTGTGACACTGTGGGTTAAGGTTGGTTTGAACCACAAGCTCAGTGGTTCAAGCTCACCAGCTGCTCCTTGGAAACCCTATACACGGTCACTATGGGCGGCAATGGATTCTACGGCACTTAGCACCACCATCACAACAAGTCTGGACTTGTTTGTTTAATATATATTTCTAGATAGTGTGATTTACTGAAGAATGACATGAGACAGTTAACAAAACGCAGTACCGGTGAGAGGAGGGAAACTACACAGGGAGATGTGGGAATCTTCTAGGTGGGAGGTGACCAGAATCTGAATTAGGGGTGTAGAAGTGGAAAGACAGGGCAAATCTGAGAGACACTTCAGAGGAGAATGCACTGGGAGGACCTCACCGTAAAGTCTACGGCTGCACTGTCCAGTCCTGTTGCTACCAGTCATTTGTGGCTATAGAGTATTTGAAATGTGGCTAGTCTACCTTGAGATCTATTGTAACTGCAAATACAAAATAGTTTTCTAAAACTGAGTACAAGAAAGAAAAATAATACAAGATCTCAATAATTATTTATGCAAATACATGTAGAAATGATAATATTTTGGCTGTTGTTGTTAAGGGCTGTTGAGTCGGTGCTGACTCGCAGTGACCCTGTATAGAGTTTCCAAGGAATGGCTGGTTCTTGTAGTTCAAAACGAACTTGCACTCTAGTATTTATCCTATGGAAGAGAAGCCAAAGAAAAAGGGTGAGACTAGAAAAAACAAAAACCCAGAAGAGTATGATGCTTTGCAAGCTAAACAGAAGAGACTTTGAGGGAAAGGAGGTATTTAATTTTGTAAATGCTGGAAAGGGATCGACAATCAATTGTCTTTAACAATTAGACAGTCCAGGGAGAATGAGAGAAATGTGAATAAGGAAATACAAGGAGTGTACATAGACTGTTTTTTTTTTTTTTTTTAATTCAAGAAGCCTGGTGGTAAAATGTCTGGTACATTTCAAGGACCCAATACTTGAAATCTGTAGCATGAATGAAGTAGAGCAGGATTTTGGAGCAGTAGCACCACTTGCCTTTCAGTTAGTTGTACTGTGCTGGATTGTGTGTTGCTGTGGCTATGCCAGCAGGTTTTGGCTGAGCTTCCAGACTAAGACAGACTAGGAAGGAGAGGTGGAGTACTTCTAAATGGATAGCCATTGAAAACCTTATGGATAACGCTGGAACACTGTCAGATGGCACCCGGATATTCAAGATTGAAACATGATGAAGAGCATCAGACTATTTTCAGATATAATGCTGGAAGATGAGCCCCTTAGGTTGGAAGGTACTCAAAATAAGACTGGGGAAGAGTTGCCTCTTCAAATTAATCAAACATGCAATCAAAATACATCGATAATTACTGGTGATTGGAATGCAAAGGTTTAGAAACAAAGGCAAAATATCAGTTGTTGGAAAATATGACCTTGGGTGATAGAATGATGCGTGAGATTGCATGACAGAATTTTGCAAGGCCAATGACTTCTTCATTGCAAATGCCTTTTTAAATAACAAAAATACCACTATACACATGGACTTCACCAGATGGTAAAAACAATAAAACTGACTTCATCTGTGGGAAGAGACAGTTGAAAAGCTTCATATAATCAGCCAAAACAAGGCCATGGGCAGACTGGATCAGACCATCAACTGCTCATATGCAAGTTCAGGCTGAACCTGAAGAAATTTAAACAAGTCCATGAGAGCCAAAATATAACCATGAACATTTTCTACCTGAATTTAGAGATCTTAACAGATTTGATGCATTAGACACTAATGATGGAAGACCGTAAGAATTGTGGGATGACATTAAGAACATCATACAGGAAGAAAGCAAAAGGTCATTAAGCCAGGAAAGAAGAAAAAGACCAAAATGGATGTTAGAAAAGACTCTGAACTTTGCTCTTCAGTGTAGAAATGTTAAAGAAAATGGAAGAAATGAGGAGGTAAAGAGCAGAACAGAAAAAGGCCAGCTCAAGAAGACAATGCCAACTACAAAAATGAAATGTGTAAAGAATTGCAATTAGAAAACCAAGAGGGAAGAACAGCTCAGCATTTCTCAGGCTGAGAGAACTGAAGAAAAAGTTCAAGGCTCCACTTGCAATATTAATGCATTCTATAGGCAAAATCCTTGGAAGCCAGGATGGCCTAACATCGCTTCTTATACTTCAGACATACCGCCAGGAGGGACCAGTCACTAGAGAAGGATATCATGTTTGGTAAAGTGGAGGGTCAGAGAAAAAGAGGAAGGCCCTCAGTGAGATGGATTGGCAAAGTGGCAGCATCATTGGCCTCAAATGTAGCAACGATTGTTGAGGTTGCCCCAGGATCAGGGAGTGTTTTGTTCTGTTTTTCATAGGGTCTCTAAGAGTCAGTACCAACTCAATGGCACCTAACAACAACAAAAATGGGCAAAATACTGAATGATGCAGAAAGCATCAAAAGAAGATGAAAGGAATACAGTCAGTGTACCAAAAAGAAATGGTCTGTGTTAAAACATTTCAAGAGGCAGTATATGATTAAGAGCCAGTGGTACTGAAGGAAGAAGTCCAAGGTGCATTGAAAACATTGGCAAAGAACAAGGCACCAGAAATTGATGAATTACAAATTGAAAATTTTCAACCAAGTGATGCAGTGCTGGAGGCACTCATTCATCTATGCCAAGAATTTGGCAAGGCCTGGTCAACTGACTAGAAGAGATCCATATCTGGGCACACTCCAAAGAGAGGTGACCCAGTGGAATGTGGAACTCATAGGACAATGTCATTAATATCGCATGTAAGTAAAATTTTACAGAGGATAATTCAAAAACGGCTGTAACCATGCATTGACAGGGAACTGACAGAGGTTCAATCCAGATTCAGACAAGGATGTGCAAAGAGATTATGATTACTGATAGATCTTGGTTCAAAGCAGAGAATACTAGAAAGATGTTTACTTGTCTTTTTTGACTATGCAAAGACTTTCAGGTTAACAGTGTTGATTTACATTTGTCATCAGAGTTGGCTTCCAGTGGAAAAACTGGCCCCACTGTAGCTTGGCTCTTGTAGAGATCTGCCTCCAGATAAGTGCCCTATACTTCAGGAGTGCTACACAGAGGGTTAAGGGAGAGCAAGAGTCTGAGGGTAATTCTAGAAAATCAAAGCAACCATCACAAAGCATTTATCTTTTATGAAGAGTAGGATGGGAAGAAAGTTGAATCTCTATACTCAAGGGTTGTCAAAACAAATATATAAACCATGGTTGTTGTCATTGTTAAGTGCCTTGAGTCAATCTCCACTTATAATGACCTTGTATAGAGTTTCTGAGAAGGAGCTGTTCGGTTTGAACTGCCAATCTTGTGGCTTGCAATCCAGTACTGATCCTACAGGAGTCCATGGTTGGTTCCTTCCAAATTCCTTAATATCAAGTTCAGAAAGGGAGATGAGTAGCTGGGATTTACAGATTATACTTTTCTTGGGTTCCAGGTTTGTTGGGTTTTTTGTGGGTTTTTTTTTTTTTTTTTTTTTTTTAATCAGACCCAAAAAGGTTACAAGGCTAGAACAGCAAAACTTTTCAGTGATCATAAAATCAATTATAACAATCAAAAGCTGCCAATGTTCTGAATGATACTTCCATAGTTAAGTAATTTTAGACCCTGGAGAAAAAGTCATTTCAAACCTATTATTGATCTCAATGGCTCTTAGAACATTAAAAGAATATTCATGATTACTAATAGCACTTTACTACAATAACTTGTGGAGAAATCTGTTTATTTGTGTATGTCTGTGACTAATCACTATTTTACTTAGAGGACAGAAATCACTGTTGTATCAAAAATAAGATACAGGATGTGCATTTAAAAATTTTTTTAATGAAATAAAAATACAATTCTTGAGGAAAGAAAAAGAAAATCTCATTCTTACCTTCATTGAATATGGCTTCTTCTGTTGGATAATACTCATTATCATTCTGAGTTTTTGAGAGTAGGGGTTTCCCACCTCAGGCAGTATTGACTAGAATTAAGAAAATACAAGTTTAAGATTCTGAATTATTTATGACATTTAGAAGCAACAATGTGAGGTTATTAGAATGTTAAAGGTTAAAACAACCCTTTAAAACGGGTGGGGAACCTTTTTTTCTGCCAAAACTTATAACATCATTCATAAGCCATACAAAATTATCAACTTAAAAATTAGCCTGCTATATTTGGTCAAATATTTAATTAACTCACCCCCACTGAACCTCAAGGTTGGCTATTCAAACCTACCAGCTGCTCCTAGGAAACTATATAGGGTTGCTATGAGTTAGAATCAACTCAATAGCACATAACAACAACAGCAAAAAACCGTGATGGCTGGAACTGTGTTTGCCTTGGCAGGGCCAGATCAAATGATTCTGAGGGCCTTATACAGCCCACAGACTGGATGTTCGCCACTCTTGCTCTAAAATCATATACTTGATTATTGGGTTTAGTGCATTACACCTGGAACCCCAAAATTTGGATGTTGTTGTTAAGTGCTGTCAAGTCGGTTATGACTCATAGTGACCCTGTAAGGGGTTTTTGAGGAGCAGTTGGTGTGTTTGAACTGCCATCTTTGTAGTTAGCAGTTCAGTGCTTATTCAACAGTACCACAGTAGGACAAGTGCACTAAAAATCACTAAGAAATATCCGTTCTTATCGTAATGGGGTTCTATCAATAAACCAATTATTTGTCTTTTGAAAATAAAACTCCTGGAATTTGACACATGCACATGACCGAAAAGACACAATGGTTGTTCTCTGGGCCATTCCCCATGAATATTTAATCACTTTTCAGGATGGTTATTTCAAGGTTATGTGAGAACAAAAGAATCTACTTTATTCAGTCACTGAATCAGCTGCAGAACCCTGAGGCACAATCATCTTTCTAAAACATCACACTAGTATTACTGCTCCAGCATTGAAACAAACCATCCAATGCTGATTTCTCAAAGGGAAGGTGGCCTCTTAGATGTCCCTGAAATCTGCTTACTGGTCTGCAAAGATACAGTCCCTTCAGGGGCTATGAAGGACACTTTAGATTTATCCAATTAAGGTAAAACTAAATGCAAATGTGTACTTCTCAGCAAGAAGATGTGAAGAGCTAAATATGCTGTTGATTTTGTTAAGTCCAAATGAATCCGTTCCAACTCATAGCAACCCTAGATAGTGTCTGTGAGGCGAAGCTGGTGGGTTTGAACCACCGACCTTGTGATTAGCAGTCCAGTGCTTATTACATAGTGTCACATCCTGGACTCTTGAGCTAATATATCATCTGAGATTTAGTCACAGAAAATGAAAGTTAAAATATTTTACCAACAACCCACTGCTCTCAGGGAAAAATTATGGACAATATTTTTCAAAGGAGTTGTAAGAAAAGCAGGAAATTTATCATTAATATTCACATTCCATCTTCCCACTGTATTCTTTGGCCTTAAGATAGATGGTGTTATTCAACAAATAATAAGTATACTTCATATATATCTTTCAAAGGAATCTTGGTGGTACAAGTGGCTAAGTGCCTCAGCTGCTAACTGAAAAGTTGGCTGTTCGAACCCAACCAGCAGCTCCATGGGAGAAAAGAGCTGGTGATCTGCTTCCTTAAAGATTAAGAAAATAAAACCAAACCCCTTGCTGTTGAGTCAATGCCTGTAATAAAATAGAGTATAATAAATTAAGTGAAAACAAACATAATAAAGACTGTTGTTAAGTGCTGTCGAGTAGGTCCTAACTCATAGCAAGCCTGTATAGGGTTTCCGAGAAACAGCTGGTGAGTCTGAACTGCCAACCTTGTGGTTTGTAGTCCAGTACTGATCCTACAGTGCTACACCAGATGTTGATAAAGATTACTGCCTAGAGAATCATATGGGCATGCTGAGGGCTAGAGCTGAGAGTGAAGCAGCCACCTGATCCGAAGTGGGCAGTGGCATGCAAGAGCACCCAAACTTGCATATAGTACCCATCTGACCTAACTTCAAGCTTGCTGATCAAAACACAACTAGAGGGGCAGGGCTTGATGGTGGATAGGGTAGAGGTGCAGTGAAGATCTCCTTCAGCAATACCACAGAATACCAGATGAAGCAGGTTCAGGGGAGAGCTCCAAAACTCTGAACCACATAGGTAGGAATATTTCAAAAGTTTGAAGGCTTATAGCTAGTAGAACTTGTAGCGGAAGTAAGAAATCTTGTACTTTAGAATCTGTCAGGCTCAGCGGCCTGGAGCCGACAACTTGGGTGAGACCAAACAGCAAGACCAAGCGGGGGAGCAAACAGACCAACCATGGAATAATGCTG